GCCTAATAAAAAGCACCCTGTGGAAGAAAAGCAAGCACGCCTTCGGGACCGAAAGCTCAGCTCTCCCAGTGACAACCAGCCCCTCTCCCTAACGCCCCTTCCCACGGCAAACACGCTCCTGGCTCGGGGACTCCCCCCCGCTAATGCAAACCTGAACACGGATCTACAAAGAGGTCTAAAGAGATAGAGAGCAGCATAGGCACGGGGTTTGGAAAAGGTCCGCCGGCTGTCCTGGGCACCAGGCAGGATGGAATTCAGCGGTCCATGCAACGCTGCACAGGGGCTCTCCTGTCGTGCTGGGAGCACAACTGCACAGGAGCTGTGAAGTATTGTCTTTAGTTCACTAAAGCCATGCATCAAGGTGCCAGTCCATCCAGGGCTCTCCTGCCTTCCCTTTTCCAAGCCCCCGCTGAGTATAAGACAAGCCAATCCCGGCATGCAAAGGCTACAGGCATGCAGGCTCTAGTCTGCTGCTTCTGTTAGTAAGTGCATCTTGTTAGTGGATTCATGAGACACACTTAAACCTATAAAAAATAAATAATCCTAATTCTTCATCAGGCTGGCCCTAAGTAACCTTCAGCCTGACGGATACACCACTCCCACCAGCCCTCAAAACCAGTATAGTTCAAAGTTACATTTCACGTCGTTTGGAAGCGGAACGTGGATGTCTCCTACCCGGAGGAATATATGTAAACATAAGAACAAGCCCGGTGCAGCAGCAGCTCCTACACAAGGTTTGTACAGATTGAAACAATGGGTAGGAAGGTAAAGAACTGAATGGAAAAAAGAAGCTCTCTTGAATGGAAAAAAGAAGCTCTTTCAGCAAGTCAGAAGGTGCTCGCCTGCGGGCGAACGGCTCCGTACAGGCAACACGCCGACGGCAGACCCGTTACCCACACCTCTGCTACTCCGCTGGGAACTCGCCTCAGCAGCTCGCACATGCCGACTTTTCCCACAGGAGGTCCCCTCCTGGGCTCCCCAAAAAGCCCAACAAAGGACCACGTGATGGTTTATGCGGAGCTCCGAGTAGCAAGATGGCAAAAGGACACCAGATCCTCCCCTCCCCCTTACTGACTCACAAACAATCTGAGGTTTCACAGCTTTTCTTAGTCAGCTTAGTGTCAACACATTCACAGAATGAGAGATGGCTATACGTCTTGGGATTGCACCCCCAAGATCTCAGAGTCTAAAGTTCTCGGCATCTCCTGGTCACCGCGACTGCACGCCCAGAGTCATCTTCAAGTTCTCGTAGACCACGTAGCTGATGCTCACGGCTGGGATCACCTTCATGAAGTTCGGCGCCAGACCCCGATAAAGACCAAACGCTCCCTCTGTCTTCAGAATGTGCTTGAACAGTCCCCTCATGGTCACTTTGGGAGCACCCTCCACTGAAGCTGCAACAGGGAAAGCCACAGTAAACGCCACAGCCCAACGCGTCAAGGTAAGACCCCTCCCACTGAGCAGTTGATTCCTGTGCTTTCCGGGGATGTTCCCGGACCGAAGGCGCTTCACAGGGGACAGCGTTTAACTTCTCCGCAAGCCACAGCCATTTCCAACCACTCTGCAGGCGCCCTTAGCCCAAAACTCCTCACCTGAGCCAAACAGAACCTCTGACCCAGCCATGCTGGGCCCAGACACCGAGGGCAGCCCAAAGTCCGCTGCCCTCTTGCAGGCACGGCAAACGGCCCGCTGCGCAGGCCAGCTAAGGCCACTGTTGCAATGTTTCCACTAGAGAACCTTTGCCCTGCTCAGAGACCACAACAGGAGTTCCCACAGTTCCCAGAAGCTCTCACCTTGGGCCTGCATGCGTGTCCTCACAAGAGCCAGGGGGTAACTGGCAAGCTGTCCGCAGGTACTGGAGATGGTGCCACAAGCCAGAAGAACGAAGACGCCGGGGTCAGCACTGTTGACAGCATAGCGTTGCAGCCAGGCGTTTTTTAGTGTCTGGAAGGAACAAGCCAGATGTTAGCAGAGAAGGAACAATCAAAAAAGAGTATCACGTTATGTGAAAGACCCAGCGCACAGGCCCAGAATGTGCCAATTCAGCCAGAAGAATTATGCTTCTCTAACTTTTTTGAGCTACTGCTACTGCAGTGCAGGAAGAAAAATCCCTTCTTTAATTTTCTGCTGCAATTTTCTCATTTAAAAAAAAAAATTAGAAACAAGGGCCCATGAATAATGTTGACTAGGAAAGGCAAAGATTTGTAAGAGATTATCTTTTAGGCCATTCTGGGGCAAAAAAATCCATTTGTGGCCCCCACAGGGTTGATCAGGAAAGCTTTGATCAATGAGCTCATGTACGGACAGGTCTGAGCGTGATGAAGCTACACACGCAGCAGTTTCGTACCTCATAGACTGCCAGGTCGATACCGGCGTAGGGAATGATTCCCAGCATGTTGGGGATGTAGCCTTTGTAGAAAGCAGCCATCCCTTCCTTCGAAAGGATGTTTTTGGCACAGTCCAACATTCCTGAATATTGTCCTGTCTTCCTTAGAGCCATCCGTGTTTTCAGAACCTGGAAGACAGGAATGAATACCCTGAAGGCCCGCAGGAGAATCGACAGGAGACAAACGGACAGACAATGTCATTCTGAAGAGCGTGACGGTCAGGACTGCTGCAAGCGTCCGGCGAGCGGCATTAGGGATATCACCCCGGAGAACTCGTTAATTAAGCTATAGCAGCACTGGTGTTCTACCCCTGGTTTCCCATCTCCGCCCTGTGCCATGCCCCCCTCAGCTGGGCTCTCGGCCACTGGTCTCACCTCCATGGGGTAGATGCTGCTCTGTGCGATGGCCCCCGCCAGAGATCCAGCCAACAGCCGCTCGTGAATCCTCAGCATTTCCTGGTCAGTACCGATGAACCGCTTGATCTGTAAAAGCCAAAACAGACACTGAGGCTTGCTGATTGAGCTCAGCCATCTCCTTTTTTTTCCAGCTTGGCCCTTCTGCAGCCAGACCTGTCTCTGCCCTTTTACTCACCTGCTCATAGGCCATGAACTTAATGGCAGATTCGGGCGCAATCTTCAACACGTTGATGCCATTCCCTCGCCACAGTGACCTCGGTCCACCCTCGCGGATCATCTGAGTAAAACCGCCAACGATGCACATGTTGTTACTGCGGGAGGCATGAACCTGGGAGAGAGAGAGCCAGCTTGGATTAGCTCCAGTCCTGATTACGACAGTGCTACGTTCCTCCGTAATCCAGGGACAAAAGGGCGCTTTTTTATTTACCCAGAGATTTGCCAAGGCTTTAATCCCTTCCAGATAATTTCTACAACAGGAAAGCAAGCTTCTTTTTTGTGAAGTCTAGTGTTAACTAATTAATCTAATCAATATCTTCCTCTGGAATGGGAGGAAAGGTTAAACAGGCAACTCCCATACCTAGCGTCGGATCAGCTAGCCAGGGTAAACTCAGCTTACTCAAGAGCAGGTGCAGCAGCAAAGCAGGCTAAAAGTGAGTTTTTCCAACACTGATAGAACTGAGTGTGAGCTCTGCCAGCTCACTACCACCACGTCAGCTCTCACGGGAACACAAGACTCGAACCTGTTCACCAAAACCCAGTTCTGCAGTACAAAACCACAGAGCTCTGACTGTTTGCCCACGTCCACCTCCCAAAACATTCTATTTTTTCCAGTCAGTGAAAAATAACTTTTTAACATGACTTGGATCATTCAAATAATCCAAAAAGCTTTCAAAATAGCACTACAAGATCAGCGAGACTAATCCTGGCCAGCCTGCAGTACTGTGTTAATGAACATTACCGTCTCCTAAGCATCCAAGAGTATTAGAGGAACCTGTCCGAGTATTCAAACAAACTGGAACTGCCCCATCATACCTGCATGAGCACTTTCAAGCGGTCCAAGGGAGCTGTGCAGGTTCTGGACACGGCACCTGCACCTCCACCTGCAACCAGATGCCTCCACCACATCCCCGTCTGCCTCTCTTCCACCGTGAACTCATCGGGGACAGTCAAATTCTCTCCAACATCGAAGATCTGCAAAAATATAAGGTGTTGAGAAATGTTCCTTCAGCTAGTGATCTTGCCAAAGTTTTACTGCCCTTTATCAGTGCTAAGTGTTGAAGTGCTGGATATGCTTATTGTGTGTCAGCAGCTTATCTATAGCCATTAACTGCTGCCTGGCCACAGGATCTGCCAACGCACACGGGAACCTTCACATTCGGAGATTTCAGTCCAAGCCGCTGGCAACCGCTGAACCGTCTGCGTTAAAATACCGCGGATCTCGGGAAGGAACAAAGCGACCAACTGCAGGCAGCTGCGTGGCGAAAGAGCTGGACCTCTCTGGAACCTCCCAAGCTTGCAGCCAGTTTAATCTCGTTACGTGCTATTTACACACACTGAAATATCTCCAGGAAGGACGGCTGCCCGTCAAATCGGCTTCTAGTCTTAACAGGTCCTGAACCAGCAAGGGCTGGCCACTGGTTTGAGCTCCCAGAGGCACAAGCCAAGCAAACACCCCCATCTCCTTGCAGCAGGTGCAGTTGTTATCACCTGCGCCAGAGGCTTCGGAAGCCGTGCCAGTGATAGGTGGCAAGATAACAGGAAGGGACAGGAAGCAATTGGGCTTCCAGGGCTACAGGGCAGCTACTGAGCCATGAAGAGAAAGATACAGACTGCTGATAGCAGCCCCTGGGGGTCAGGACTCTGAGGGAGAAGCTGGGGAAAGACTAAGACCGGTAGCAGAGGAACCATTCCTTACCGTGGAGTGCTTCCAGTACAGGATGATTTCAGGAATGTTCTCCACTGGGTGCAGCAGGTGATAGTCTCGCCACTCGTTCCAATCAATTGTCATTGTCCCATTTTTATCCATGCTAAAAAGATTTATCACTGGATGAGTAGACTCCCACTTGGTGACAAATTCCTCCTCCCCTTCCCTTTTTATTCAGGCCTACACCAAAAAAAGCTTTGCAAAGCAACTACTAAAAGACTTCTAAGGAGACACGAGACAAAGCTAGGGAATCTTTCACTCACCAAACAGTGCAGAAAGGTAGAATGTGGCTGCCTTTTTCCTCCCCTCTCTCTCCCCTTTAGCTGACCCCACAAACAGTTGCACCCCCTCCTACCAAACTCAGGCACATAACTGACACTGAAGGGAAAAGAATACTTACTAGGTGACAGGACCCCAGAAGTGTCCCGTCCTTATTCTGACACACAGGCAAACAGACAGAGGGAAGGTAGCAGAGGAAAGAAAGAGGAAAAAACAGCACAAATAAGTGGTTGTTAACATGTTAGTGCCACATGCATAAAGCACTCAGCATTTCCGAAGAGCAACTGCACAGTCCCTCTCCAAAGCAGCAAGCTCAGGGCAGCAGGACAGTCAGACAGGGACACAAATCAGCTCGGGTGCAGGCATTTCCCCACAACAGGTCAGTAAGGTAAGAGACTCCGACAGTAACTCTCCATAATGCATTACGACCTTCTAAGTGTCAATTCACAGTGGGGAGAAAAAAAAAAAAAATCAAGAGTAATAGGCAAAAAGGGAGGAGCTGGAGTCTCTGGAAAGCGTGTACAGGGTAGCAAGTGGAGAGGAGTTCCACGTCCCTACGTTTCCTTCTAAGGCCCTCAACAGTAAAACAGAAGGACCAGCTGGATCCTCACCTCTTCAGTATCTTCTCAGCCTGCTGTTCAGAGATCTTGACTCCCAGGTCCCGAAGAGACTGTACAATCTCCTGGGCATCAATCCGGCCTGCAAAGATAAGTCAGTGAGCTCAAGCACACGTATTACAAGCCAACACCTGCAGCAGCGTACTCATGAACACGAGAAAGGTGTTTACCATCATTCTTCTTATCCAAACTCTTAAAGACCAGTCTCAGCTTCTTTTCATGATCTTGGAGATAGTGAACAAACTCCTCAAAGTCCAGCTGTCCATCCAGGTCCTTGTCTCCAGCCTTCACAATTTTCTGGAAAACAAACCAAAAACTGTTAGCTCCTTTGTTCAGATCTGTCCTTTCTTCTACCATGTTTAAAGGTCATTTCCTACATGACTTTGACTTTTCCTCCAGAAAGCAGCCCAGAGAATTATGGTAATTCCTCAAAGAAATCTGAGCAAAGCAGTACTGTAAGAAAGTCACCTGCTTCCAGGCAACTGTCTCCCAGAGTTACTTATGCAGGCGAACTGCCTCATGCTTTTATCCGGGATAATCTACAAGTATCGTCGTGTGTCCGATCTCAGCCCTGTATCTTATCACCTTCCACAGCCCTTGTGGACGTTCTTGAGCTACGTATGAGGCAAGAGATTTGCACAAAAATGAACCACAAAACTTCAGGTACTAAAGAAACCTGAACAGGAGAAGGAATTTCATGCCTACTACGATTCTTAGAAAAGTAAGCTCCCTCTGGCAATAACTAACTCCAACCGGAAAAAGCCTGTCCAGCTCCAGCGGACACAGGCACAAATAAAAACCCCTATGAACTGGTTTAGGCACCCTGGAGCTATGTGCTTTAATTCTGCAAGTTTCCACGAGACGCACATAGAACAAGAAAAGGTTCTTAGTAGGACAAAGCTAAAACCAAGATCAGATGCCGTGCCAGACATCTAGGACGAGTTAAACTACTAATTAGCTCACTCCAGCATGGGGCAATAGCAGACGGACTGTCCCATCTAAGGGCACGTGGCTACTTGTTGACAGGAGAGGTGATCTCCGGACTGCAAGAATGTGGCTCGGGGAGTCCCAATTCCCCTTCGTGTTCAGTCCCTTGCCTTTGACAGCCTGTAAGTCTATTTTATGATGAATCATCCAGTGAGGTGTGATTCAGTCCGCTGCATCACCTACATTTTTGGTTTAATTCCTGACACATCTCCGCGAGCGGCAGGTGGGTTGTTACGGAAGCTCTGAGCTGACATCAAACACTACTGCTCCACCACTATTCTGTTCAATATTAGGCTTCAACAGTACTAGGCAAACCTAAGCTTACTGTGCCAGCACCAGTCTCCTTATAAGCCTGAAGCGTTTGTTTCAAGGCCATTCTAAATTACTCCAATGTTAAATATTCATTATTAAAACTCTCCCTCGCCCCACCAAGTCTGGTCACTTCAGCCCTAACGCCATGAGGATTATTCCTAATCACTTTATGAACCTTAAATAAGAATGTGCTGTCCCAGCTGCCCTGACCTTTGAGGTATGCCCAGTATTCTTAACCTGCCATTTATCATATGACTGTTGTAAAGTTCAGCTATGACCCCACTTTCAACTTGTAGGCTAAAGATAGACCCACACCCCTGGCATGTCAGCAGATCGGCCTTGAACAGCTGAATCAGGGCTTCCCTCTGACAGGCAACCCCCAGCCAGTTGACAGGCACTAATAATTCAGAGGCACTGTAAGAGATGTGACTCTGCAAGTGCTCCCGCTCGCTCAGCACGCCCTAACCGCCGCAGAGATGCGCGACGAGCGACCGGAGACCACAGGTAACGAAAGCTGCCCCACTCTGCTACCCTCCTTCCTCCGCAGTCCCGAAGCAACATGCTGCCAGCCTGTCCAAGTCACCTGCCACACGAGCAAAGGGTGAGAAAGCCAAGCTCCCGGCATCTTCTCCAGGGATGCGACCAACTGTCTGCCTGCAGCCCTTCGCCTTCAGCAGCAAAACAGCTTTGCTGTTCAGTAATCAGCTGTCTGGGCTCTCGACAGCCCGGTCACGCAAACCACGGTGCTAGCAGCAAGCTGCGAGCAAGGGCTCGGATACGGAGCAGGATGGAGCGCTTCCGTGGGTTTAGCGCGTCTCCCTCTGCGGCAAAGGGAAAGGCTCTTGCACAACCTCTGCCGGCTCAGCCCACGCGCTGCGGCCGAGCCGCCCTCCAGCTCACGGCACAGACCTGCTCACCCTCAGCGGGCGAGACCCGCATCAGCTGGAGCCGGCATGAGGTCACACGCCGCCGTGTGAAGGCGGGCAGGAGGGGGGTGTAAGGAAGAGGAAAAGGATGTGAGACGTTGTATTTGAGCAGACCGGTTCAAGCGGAAGAACCCGTCGTTTGGAAAACCCCTTTTTCTACTTAAGTTGCAGCAAATCAACTGGTTTAAACAGTCTTGGAGGCTCTGAGACCTCCGAGATTCAAGCCAAAAGAAATCAGAAAGGAAAAAGCCCACTCCACGCTGCTTCAGCGATCCCTGCCAAGGGGCAGGAGACACGTGTCCATGCCGTACCCAGCTATTACAACAGAGCCGTCACGGAATTCTCCTCCTCCAACCGGCCTCTCGGGGTGCCAGAGACCACCCCTCCATCGCTCGCTCCCTCCCAACCCTCCCTCGGAGCCATACCTGCTTCCACTGGCGGTAGGTGGAGAACTCCCGGGAGGGAATGAAGAGGCTGAGTCGGAAGATCGATTTGAGTTCGGCCGGCAGCCCCTTCGACTCGAAGTACTCAAACTCCGTCTGCGACTCCCCAAACACCGGCACGTACAGACAGAGGCAGAGCATCTTTCTGAGCCGGAGACTCGGCTGCCCTGCTCAGGACCGACCAAGGAGGGAAGTCGAGCTGAACCCTGAGCTAATTTCAGTGCGTAGTGGAAAGGAAATGCCAGCAGAACTCATGACACATGCCTATGAGGGAAGCCGGCTCCGGTGGGATTGGCTGTACAAGCCCTGCCCTTCTACTTAAAAGGGAAGCCTGGCTGTACAGTCCCACCCAGCTGCCAGGGACGGATCCGGAGGAGGAGGCATGTGAGCTGCCTCCCATTGCTCAACCAGGCTCCCACCGCCTGACATCAGCTCACCGCAACTTAACTCTTACCGGCGTCTCATGTAACCCGGGAGGCTTTGGCCAACATCCAAGCTGCTCACTTGCCATCCCATACATCCCATCCGTCCTTCCTGATCCTGTTCTCACCGCTCTGGAGATTTACACACGCAGCGGATGAGACTTGATCATCACCTCTCCCACCATACAACAACACAGGAGGACTTTTGCCGTCTTCCTCTCCGCAAAAATCTCCCTCTAAATCGCAGTGAGAGCAGGATGCCAGCCACTTACTGCTTTCCTACATGTCTGAGCGAGCCAGCTTAAGCCAAAGCCTTGAAAATCCACTTTCACAGGGTTACTTTGCCATGCCAGTCGATTGGCTTTGGTTGCGAGTTCTCCCAAAAACACTTGTGCCAGCAACCCCTGCTTGCCACGACCTCCCCTCTCTGCATCCCTCCGGGGTCACTAGCAGGGGCAGCAGTAAAGCCTGCGGAGAAGGTTTCCCATTGTGCCCAACACCCAGAAAACCACCAAAATCAAGGGCAGGCTTCAAAACAGACCCTGCTGCTTCAATGTGTCCGCGCAGTCACGCCAGCTTGACTGTTCTTCCTCCTCTCCCAACAACAATTAAACACTGCAGGCGGGCAAGCGCTGTAAGGAGAAGCGGCCCGGGCAGAACAACATTCTCCAGTTTCTGCCATTTACAGTTTAACCACTTCACAGGCAAGTTCCCGAGCTTTCATGGGGAGCATGCCAGGCGGAGGAGGGAGCGTGGCACACGCCTCGTTTAACGTGGATGTCACTGCCGGCTTCCGAGCGCGCAGCGCAGCTCGCTGTACGGGCTAACACCCAGCGCGCCGGCGAGAGGTCCGCACACGTGCAGCAGGCAGTGTTAAAAGGAAGTTACAGTCTTGAGATTCGTCACAGAGAAGCTATCCCATAAGGAGGATGCAACCAGTACCCCAAACCCCGTAATCCGCCAGCACTGGGAGCACCACCGCCCGCTTGCTGACTGGTTTTAGCTGGCCCAGCTGACCGCCTCCCCCACGGCTGCGGACGCAGCGGAGTCGTGTTTGCTCTGTTTAACCAGACTGCCTGGCCAGTGCAAAGTCCGACAAGCACTCCCCCCCCAAACAGATCCTAATGCACAAGGGGCCCCTGCTGTGGGTTTTGATTCTTTAAAGAAAAGCCAAGGGCAGGAATAAGCTGCTGGTGGAGCTGCGTATCAATGACACGCATTGGGAATATTTCAACTGGGGCTTTATTTCAAGGATTTGGGTTTTTTTTTAAAAAAGCTTAATAGATCACAACTTTCAGCAATTCAGTACTCGAGAACTGCGACCTACAACAGTTCCCTACGCCCTGCCCGTCACCTCACCTACCACCACTGCCGCGTTACCTAACCAGGCTTAACCTACTCCCCGCTGACGTCTCTCCGCACGAAATCAGGATCTTCTCAGGGACTCCAGATCCTCTTAAGGATCAGCTGCAGCAGCTCACTACATGCAGGCCAGCAGCACACCCCAACCTTCCCACCCAGCAAAGTCTCCCTTCAAGCAGCACCCCAACACTGCCCACCACCAGCCTAGAGCAAAGGACTTCGGCCCACGGCGAGCAGCCCCACCCCCACCCCGCTCCAGGTAGCGAGCGAGCAAACGTAACTCGGATTTGCCCCACCGAGCCTTAAGATCCCCCGTAGTCCTTCCCACGAGTTGCCAAGCATCACTATTATAGCTGCTTGGCAGCTCGGTTGCTATGCCAACGTGATGCAGATTTTCCTAATAAACTCTGTCTGGAGTTGGCAGCTAGAGACAAAAGGCAAAATCGGCACATTTTTGGAAAAAACGCCCTACTACCTACGTCATGAGGAAAGGAGAAAGGCAGCGAGGTTAAGAAAGCTGATTTTAAGCGGGGTATTAATTACAGGACAGCGAGCTAAGAAGGAGAGATTACGAATGAAGTTTCTACCAGCAATTCTGGTTATAATGACAAAGAGAACTTAAAACGGGCTTCAAGGAGTATTTAGATTTCACCTCAAAGAATCCTAGTAAAGCTGGAAGTACTCAGAAGCGAGCTAGGCCTCACTAAAGCTGCAGGGATCAATGCTGCTGGAACACAACCAGTATGGGGTCACTGCCCAGGCAGCCCCAGCCCCTGAGCGTGCGTGTGCCGGCAGCGGCACCCAGCCCAGGGCTGCAGCACCCTCTACTCCCCATCCCACCGAGGGCAGGGCACAGGGCTCCACATAAAGTCACTGCTCCCTGGGATTTTGTCCATCCACCGGTTCTGTCGGCGAAGCCAGAGCCGGACCGACGCGAAGCCAGCCTAGCTAGCACCCTCCTCTGTTAAAGGGGATGCTAGATGGGTGCGTCTTCCTCCCACAGAAGGCTCGCTTTTCTTGGATCAAGGAAGCTGCAAACTCATTGTCCACTTTATTTATAGGATCTGGTTCTTATTTAAAAGCTGCACGAGTTACCAGTTTCAACACCCCGCCACGCCAACACTAGCCTTCCCTAGTCACTCGTACCCTCCTAGGCATCTGCTTCCTCACCAGTTCACTACACCAGCTCCAGAAGGCACCTCCCCAGGGACGGGAGGATGCAGCCATACACGGAGCAGGGAAGTATGCGGTTTAATTTTGAACTGACTTTGCTAAAAAAAAGAAGCTTCTAAAAATATCATGTGCCAGTGAGCGTCACAGCCACAGAACTAACATCCTCCTCCACGGGCAAAACAGTTTTCTGGGCGAGGACACCACGGGCCAGAGAAAACCGCTATTGCCTCGAGTCCTCCTGAGGTTCTGCTGACTCGGTAGTCTTTAATTTCTGGAAACTAGCTTATAATTAATTGTACAGTACTGGGAGTCCTCACAAAGTGTATGAAGGAGGGGAGTTAATCATTGAAGAGACCCCAGCGAAGAGCTGCAGCCAGCCAAGGCTGTGCAAGGGGAAGGGCAGGGAGCAGGGAAGGCAGACAACACCACACGGTATTCGACATAAAGGTAAGCGGGAAAGGTGACCTGTTCCACTGACAACACACAGATCCAAAGTTACAAGTCCAGATGGTGACATCAGGGGCAGATCGTGCCTCTCGCCTGTGTACACACAGCCAGGGGCCAACGCATCGCATTTGCAATCAGTGTTTTCTCCTGCATTTGCAAAAACATGTTGAAATCGTTACCTTCACGCAAGGATCTGAGCAAAAAACACGCCAACTGCCACGTGAAGATGGAAGAGCCAGGGCTAGGAAGCACCTCAGCGCAAATTCATGGATACATACAAATTCCTTACAGTAACCCAAGGACGGGGCGTGATATTTTGGGTGTTTTCGTAGTTTCCGGCGTTTTCACAAAACGAAGCGGCATACCAGCCGAGAGACTTCTCCCAAGGTCACACGCACTCAGTGGCAGAGAACAAAAGCCGTTTTCATTAAACACCAAATAATACTGTTTGCTCACAGTGGTTTATAATCTATCCCCAGGGCTGCACCAGACTCTTTGCAACACTCCTCCTTTCAGACGGGTAATTAGAACACAGATACCTGATGGCACACAAACGAGTCGTTGCGGTTTAACAAGTTACCGTCCGTCAGCCGGGCCGCCGTGGCCGGACGCAGTATTAGCCGATGGCCGGACGCAGTATTAGCCGATGGCTGGATTGCAAGGTAAAACGTATCTGCATAATCCTCAAGAGAAGAGCTTTACACTGCGTTTTACTTTACAACCAGGGCAGGCTAAAATTACACAGTCATAGCCTCAGAGCAGATGGGCAGTTGCTTCCTAAGCTGCAATAACTCCATTTTACCACATCCTTATCCTCTAGGTATTTCTCCATTAGCCAATTTTAGGGTTCCTATGCAGCACAATTCCCAGGGTCACACAGGGAAGAAGAGATTGGTATCAGCTCTTAGGAAAGCTTCATTTCAGGTGTGAACAGATGGACTCTCCCTGACTGAGGGACCATTGTTCCCTGGAAGACAACAGAGATTTTCAGCCCTACGCTGCTGTCAAGGTTTTCATCAGAACCTCCTTCAGTTCTGAGCCTCTTGTCCTCCTTCGACAGAAAAGGACAAGAAACAGAAACCCTCCTCAAACTGCACACGCTCCCCTTTTTGCAGGGGATGCACGGTGCTAACTGCTAACCGTAGGGATGAAGGTAAAAGTCCCTGCAGCTTTTCCAGTCTGATTCAAGCAGGGAGTGGCTTCCGCTCCCCAGAATGCGAAATGCCACGCTGCCCGTTTCCATTCAAAACGACAGCTGAAAGGATACCCATCCCTCTACAACCTGAACCTGTCCATCCCCCGTTTTAGAGGGAAAGCTTACAGTGACCCCCACGTCCCACTGCCTGTCACATAAGCTGGATCCTGCCGGTCCCACACCCCTGCCGCAGCCCTTCTGGGACCCCAAGCTCCCACCACGCGCAGGCGTTATGCCCAACTCCTTCTCCCCTCATCCCAGCTCGCATCCATCCTCACACGTAGTCAGAACCGACCGCACTGTCCTCGGGAGAGACAGACAGCGTTCCCTCCCCACCAAAAATAAACCAGGACTGCCGTCAGCCAGCGCTGCGCTGGGAGCCCAGGCGCTGAACTAAGCTGCTTTTGTTCGCCTGCCCGCAGACAAAGCCCCACCATTTAGTCCCTGCCAATTGTGTGCACCCCGCTCTCCCACCCTCTGGGAAGTTCCCATCCTAACGTGGATTTCAGTCACCCTCTCCCCAGGGACAAGCCTCCCTCTCTCCCGAGCTGTGCCATTCAAACGCAGACAGTTACTCATTCCCTCGGAACACACTACCTTTGCCAGAGGCTTGCCACATCTCCAGGGACCCACTCCCGGAACATGTTAGGATCCGTTTGATCCTTCGCCGGTCTCCAACGCAGGGGTGGGACTCACCACTAACCTGCGGTATCATTCCCTGCCCTCAGTCATGCTTCTTACAAGTTGCCCGGGAACCTTCGAGACCCCTGTATCCCCCTTGCCCCTAAAAAGCATTTTTCCCCCCCTTTGAGCATCCCTCTGAAAGGTTACATCACCTCCTCTCTTCACAGCCATTCCCCTGGTCCCCCCACATTTCCCTTCAAGCAAGCACACACACTGGACCTCGCTCCCTTTTCCTGTTCCTCTCCCCCCTCCCCAAATACCCACGCACACCCCCCCAGCTATTCGCACACTCCACCTGCAACACCCCTACTCCCGGCAGACCCCACTCTCCGCTGTCACGTGCGCCAACCCCTCCTCAAGCCCCTGGATATCCCGTTACCTTTGGAAAATGCTCTGCGGGTCCAACCACCAGTAGGATAGTTGGTCTCCGTTCAGTGGGATCAGTCCCTCTGTCCTGTGGCTTCCCCAACATCTTTGGCCCTTTCTCCCCGGGGCCTGGAAGTGGGGTGGTGTTTCTGGCCTCATCCTCTTTTTCATCTGCAGGACCTTGGCATACGGCCCTGGGAAGGAAGCTAGACAGAAAATGCCAGAGGGTCTGCAGCATCGCTGCTCCAGCGAGCGTCCCAGGCAGGGAAACCCTGCGCGCTCAGGAGCTGCCCGCTGCCAAGGAGGATGTGACTGCACTACCAAGCACCCCCGAGACGGGAATCGCACGGCAGCCAGCGGGGAGGTTCAAGCCAGCGACTCCACGGGCTCGGATTCTTTACAGACCACTCCTGCGGACGCTTCCTGCCTTTTGAAATTGCTGCTACTGCAGTCGTGCCTGGCCTGACAAGCAGCTCATTGTACAAGAGCCTCGGAAATCTGATGGTAACAAAGCGCGAGACCCTTGGCACGGAGAAGCCGAGACGCTGAGCTTTG